CCTTGAGACACTGGCCTTCTTTAGCTCTGGGAGGGCCAGGAAGGGGTCATGTCTTCATTCTCTCCTGAGGGCACCTGACCTGCACCTGTGAGTCAATGACCAGAGTGCCACACCAAGTGTGTGGGACTCCTCACTTGACTATGTTATGGCTGCTCATTTAGAGGGTGCCACACGCACAGGGTGAGAGCCAGGAGACCAAGCCGTCCCATTAGTTCCTTGAATTAAAAAATAACAAAATTAGGGAGTACCTGGGGGGCTCAGTCGATTGAGCATCTGACTCTTGATTTCGGCTGGGGTCATGATCTCATGTGCGCACACACACACCCTCTCTCTCAAAATAAATAAACATTAAAAAAGCAAAAGCAAGCTTAGTTGCTATGAATTTGTAAAGCTTGAGGGAAGACCTTAGCTAGACCGCCCTCCCCAGCTCTCCCACAAATGCCCCAGAACAGAGCCGTGGCACATAATGCATGCTCTAAAAACCTGATTTTAACACTGTAGCAAAACTAAGATTCAATCTATCTCTACTTGTAATACAGCTCACAAAAGCCATGTGTGCTGTGCAGGAAGAATCACAGAGCAAGGTCTAGAAAGGGCCTTTCTATCACAATACTTTGGCATATGTCCCGTTGAGGATCCTGTCGCACAGCTGAAGGACAGACCACAGGGCCATGCCACAGTGTATACTCACATCCTAAGGCCTGTCAGGTAGGGACAAGGCCCTGGGAAGGGTAGATCTTGTCCGCCCCCCACATCCCCGCAACGCAACTGAAGGATATCCAAGGAGGGTGTTTTGCCCTCTAGTCATTTGTGGGGGAAATGAAACGAAGGAGGAAAACAGATAAAGTGGGGCAAAGAAGAGAAAAGAAAGAGACTTATAGAGAATATAGAGAATGTATATTCTAGGATAAGAGTGAGTTTATCACAAGTTAGACTGGTTTGTTTTAGGGCAAAGGAAGACTAGGAAAGAACGAATAGCGTGCCATTTACACAACTTAATGTGGCCGCCAATGCTAAATGAAGGAGCCAGGTTTCCTTCCCAAGCAGGTAAGAGAAGGCTGCATGATGTAATAAGACCCTAGCGTGGCGTACGATGTAATACCGCCCTAGCATAGCGCACAATGTAATATGGCCCTAGCGTGGTATATGATGTAATACGGCCCTAGCCTGGCCGCGATGTAATATGACCCTAGTATGGCGCACGGTGTAATAAATATGGCCCTAGCGTGACGCACGATGTAATACGGTGCTAGCGTGGCAGGGCCTATGCCAGCCTCCCTTTGGGGCGCTCTGTCGGTTCCGCAGAGAATGGGCAAACGTCTTGTCCCTTGCAGTCTGTTCTAGGACAGAGCAAAATGCAGAAGGAAACCAACACAATTCACTCGACGAGTCAGTGAAACCCTCCAAACCTGACAACATGTACTGAGGAAAACTTCTCTTCCGCAGGAGAATAACTGCCTGTTTCCAAATAAGACTCTGGCAGACAGAATTTAACGGTGCATTGAGAGTCCACAACACCACCGTCACCATAAACCTATTCCGGAAGAGCTTAATATTAGGCAGTCAATTAACTGGACATCGGTCATATCAACAGGGCAAAGGGGGAAGTTAAAAGCAAATGATACAAATACCTCAACAAAGGAAGAATGGATGTTAAGTGAAATATGGCTCCCACTCTTAAGATGAGTTCTGGAAAACAAGGACAGAAAATTGTTTCCTTAACATTAGAGGGACTATCTATCCTCGACCAACAGCCAACATCAAGCCCGAGAGGGAAGCATTAGTGCCCTTTCAATCAGGAGGTGAGAGGAGACTGCCCGGCACCAGCCTTCCTGGACGTCCCACAGGGTTTTCTAAGCAGTCTGTCCACAGACGTCAAGACCTTCTAACTGTTAGGAAGGAAGAGAATACTTATTCTTATTTGCTGATCCCAGAACCCTAGAAAATCTAAGGGGATGTTACCCCTTACACAACGTATGAGAGATTGGAAGGAAATCTGGGCCAGAGAATAAGTAGGCAAATAAACTTCAAAAATTACATGCCAGCTATGACCAGTCAAAAATTGTAAAAGAAAAAAGATTCCAGTCACAAGAACATAGACAAAATAAAATATAACAACAAAAAACCCACTTGAGAATAATCTTAAGAAGTGCACAGGACTGCACACCTGGGTGGCTCAGTTGGTTAAGTGTTTGACTTCAGTTCAGGTGATGATCTCATGGTTGGTGAATTTGAGCCCTGCATCCCCTATATCAGGCTCGCTGCTGTTAGGGCAGAGCCTGCTTCAGATCCTCTGTCCCCCCCTCTCTCTGCCCCTCCCCTGCTCTCTCTCTCTCCCCAAAATAAATAAACATTTTTAAAAATTAAAAGAAAAGGAAATGCATAGGATCTACATGAAAAAACTACAAAACTTGACTCTGCACAAAGGAAGTGTAAAATAAAGGGACAGACAGGGTGTCTGGCTGGTTCAGTTGGTAAAGCATGTGACTCTTGATCTCAGTGTTGGGAGTCTGAGCCCCATGTTGGGTGGAGAGATTACTTAAAAAAATAAAATTAAAAAAAAAAAAGGTGGGGGGAGGGACTGACCACATGGAAGTCTGGAAGGGGTAAAAATGTGAGACCTTCCCAAAGTAAATCTAGGTTTAGTCATATTTCAAGATTTTAATAATCTCAAGCATTTTAATAATAAAATTAGAGCAACTGGGTGGCTCAGTCGGTTAAGAGTCCAACTTTAGCTCAGGTCATGATCTCCCAGTTTGTGGGTTCAAGCCCCGTGTCAGGCTCTGTGCTGATAGCTCAGAGCCTGGAGCCTGCTTCCCATTCTACGTCTCCCTTGCTCTCTGTCCTGCCCCCACTCATGCTCTCTCTCTCTTTGCCAAAAATGAATAAACATTAAAAAAAATTATGCCAGAGTTCTACTGAGGAGAAAAAACAGGTGAGAGGAACTAAAAAAATTTATGAAAAAGAAATGAAGGGAGGCGAGCCCACCAGATGTTAAAACTGTATGGAAAAATCCAGTAATTAATCAGCGAAACAGAACATGTGCTTGAAAAGCAGACCCTGGAGTAGAGACGGGGATAACTTTTCAGGAAAATAATCTGGTGACATACATCAAGCATCTTAAAAACATTCCTATCCTTCCCACTTCAAGGACAGCCTCTGAGGCGGGAACACAGATTTACGCACAGAATCGTCCGTGGTGGATGCTGGGAGCGAATGTTAGACACGTTACTGGGACAGTGACCAAAGTCACGCCTGTGGACAATTAATGCAGTCCTTCAAAACGTTTACGAGCTAAAAAAAAAAGAAATCAAGCTGCTGACAAATGTTATCTTGTTTTTAAACCAGAAATACTCGCTGGTGAATTCTCCATTAACCCTAGGAAACCAACCGGAGCCCCACGTAGGGAAAGATGGCTGAGACTCCATCTTTGTGCTCCAGACTCTGACTACCCTGAGCCTGTCCCGACCAGCCACGCTAGGCCCCTGACACTGAGGCCAAGGCCCAGGGGCCAAGCTCCTCCAAGGCTTAACCACCTTGCTGGCCTCAGAGGGCATGCGGCCCTGCTGCTCATCCTCACCGCAGCCACACACGAGCACATCACTCAGGATTTCCGAGGGGCGCGTGGGGCTGGGCCGTCCCAGCACATGCAGGACAAGGTTATCACCATCACCAAGACACTGCCAAGTCCTCACAAGACCCCTGGACCCTGGCAGATGCCCGTTTGTGCAGCTTCACCAGTGGTTCAAAGAATTTCTGGAAGCTGATCTGAGGAGGTGCCTCAAAAGCCTTAATATTTTGGAGGCGCCTGGGTGGCTCAGTCGTTTGAGCATCCAACTTCAGCTCAGGTCACGATCTCATGGTTTGTGAGTTTGAGCCCCGCGTCGGGCTCGCTGCTGTCAGCTCAGGCCGCGCTTCTGCTCTGTCTGCAGCGACCCCCCCACCCCTCTCCCACTCGTGCTCTCTTGAGGGATATTTTATATCTCTTCTGAGCAAGCATTACATTCAGCTATGTGTTCTAAGGAAATGGTTTTGCATGTGGACACAAACGTAGCTATTCACTTTTTAAAACAATAATGTATCATTATAAAAGGTCTAAGTGTCCAAAAATAGAAAAGTGGGAAGGAACGATGAACCTCACACCATCTGAAAAACGAATTCTATCTCAAAATTAACAAAAAATAGAGATGAGAACAAGGAAAAGAAAGAATAACTATTGAAGACAGCTTAGAATGAAGAGTGTTCAAATTATTTCTTAAAAGAAGAGGATGTGTTTCCAGTGATGACCTTTTAAGAATGAACAACGGGCCCTGAAAAATATTCTCAAGAGGCTGCACGTGGTCCTGCCTTAAGCTCTTGCATGAGAGCCAGGTATTAACAGCAGAGGGACACAGTCCCCCACACCTCAGAATCACCCAGTACACCCAGCAATTGGTTAAAAATAGGCCCTCTGGTCTCTCCCCAAGGCTCCAGAACTAGGACCACGGGGGTGAGGGGGGGTGCAGAGGCTTCTGCAGTTGGTTCACTGAGCCCCGGGCAGTGGGCTGTGCTCAGTGCCCAGTTTAGGAACAAGGGGCTGCTGGAGAGATGGCATCCTCATCTAAGGAGTAAAGTTGAGATCTGCAGCCATAATTCCAGGGGCCCTGTTTCCATTCATAAAGTGGGACTAAACCTGAGTTTCCACCTTAAAAAGATAACATGGGGTCAGGGCATATGGAGAACAGGACGCTGCGTGACCAGACCGGGTGTTCCATAGGGACGCCAATACTCCCATTCGTCCGGCACCGTGTGCTACGACGACGACACATCCTCCCCTTTGGCGGGGGCGACTATGAGGAAGGAGTCCCCCCATTCCCACTACAAGACAGAGAGGTCCCAGGGACAGATGACAAATGTCAGACCCCACACCTGAGGACGGCTGAGCCCTGAGTCATGCTCAACGAGAGCCCCGAGACATCCCGGCAAGCAGTGACGGGTTGGACGAGGACATGCCCACCTACCTGCCCAGAGCTCCGAGGTGATGTGAGGGGCCATTGGGGCAGCCATCACCATCAGGGCACACAGAGCGTCCTCGAACTCAGGACTGTGGAGGACGACTCTCGGAGAAGCTTGCTGAGAAAGAGAAAAAAACAGCATGAGAACACGGAGGCACAGAGTGTAGGCACAGAGTGTAGGCACAGAGTGTAGGCACAGAGAAAGGCCATGCGTGTTATCTGAGGCCCAGAGACGCAAGCAGGCTGGCAGCACCCCTCCTCACTGCTCATCTAACCTGAGAATCACAGGAGGGCGGCGGCAGTGACAACACGTGTAACACTCTTAACTGAGCACATACTACACCCTGAGTCTGAGGCTGGCTCATCTGGTTCCTACGACGACCCTTGGGGGGCAGTATTCTTCCCGCACTAGGCAGAAGTGGCAACTCAGGATCACAGAGGGAGAGTAACCCGCCCCCAGGGATGTGGTGAACTGAGCGACACAGCCCCCACGAGAATCCAGAGTTAAACTCTGTCTCAAATCAGAGTTAAACTCCTAGCCGTGCTGCCGGGTTTCCCGGGCGCTGCAACATGGGTGAGAAACGCAGACAGGCTGGCTCACAGGTTTTGCAACGTGCAAATGGCCAGCGCAGGGGTACCCCTGCCCCCTCAGGGATGCCAGGGGTCCTCCTTCTAGTAAACAGCTTGGCCAGTTACTGTAAACACCCAGTTTCTTCCTGCGGTGCAGCTGGCTGGGTGACCAGCACACTGGGTGACCGGCCCATCCAATTTATGGGGTACCTACTCTGTGCGGGACTTTGGGGGAGAAAACATCCAGAAAGGCTCAGTCTCTGCCCTCAAGGAGTTTATCGTCCATTGGGGAGAGGGGTGACAGAGGAACCAAGGGTGTCACAGGGTGCAGGGGAGGGAGGGTGGCCAACAAAGCAGGGTGTGAGCGGGTGCGTGTGGTTCGAGGACGGTGGGGAAGGGGAGGGGCCGCCCTGCCATGGCTGTGGGAAGCATGTCCCCGAGTCTCCCAGAGGCTGGCAGTTCTCAAGGCACCCTGGGGGAGACCTGATAAAAACCAGCCTGGCCAGATGGTGGCACTCAGTCTATGCTCACAACACCCTGTGACAAAAACAGTTTTGGTTTAATTTTATATGCTTGTTAAACTTTAAAAGTAGGAGGCCCACATAATGTATTTTGTTAGGTAGAGAAAGGCCAAAAATACTGTACATTTAAAAAGTCTTTTTAAAGATTTTTTAAATGTACTTTAATGTTTATTTTTGAGAGAGAGAGAGAGAGAGAAAGAGGGAAGGAGGGAGAGAGAGAGAGAGGATGAGTAGGGAAGAGGCAGAGAGAGAGGGAGACACAGAATTCAAAGCAGGTGCCAGGCTCTGAGCTGTCAGCACAGACCCCGATGTGGGGCTTGAACCCAAGGACATGAGATCACGACTTGAGCCAAAGTCAGATGCTTATCTGACTGAGCCACCCAGGCACCCCCCCCCAAAATACTGTATATTTAAGAAAATGTTTATATATTTATATGGGGGGGTGGAGGGCATGCTGGGGAGGGGCAGAGAGAGGAAGAAAGAGAATCCCAAGCAGGCTCCATGCTGTCAGCACAGAGCCCGACACAGTACTTGATCCCACAAACCGTGAGATCACGACCTGAACTGAAATCAAGAGCTGGATGCTCAACCGAATGAGCCACCCGGGCGCCCCTACACATTAAAAAAAAGACAGGCCGGATCTTTGCAAAATGGCCTGACAGATCTGAATCTAACTCCATGGGGTGGGTACAGAGTCTACTGGAAGCGTGTAGACGGAACTGTCAGGGAGTCGACATTTCATTTTTAATTTCATTTTTCTATGATATTTACCATTTTTTCCTGATTAAAAAAATAACACCCACTCAGCAATGAAAATTCTGGAAATGCGAAATCACTCATCATTGTACCACCTAGAAGAAAACTGATGTGTTTTATCCCGGTCTCCAAAACCGCAAAAATATGGGACTATAATATCTGTCTACATACCCTTGTGCTTGACTGGAATTTTTATCACATAGACTCTTCTGTATTCTGTGTTCTTACCTGATGTTACATCACGAAGAGTTTCTGCAACTTAGTTTTCCTGGAAAGACACTGTGAATGGTGGTGGCGCATTTCGTTCTTACGGATATGACCGAAGTCATTTACCGATTTTCCCTTCTGAGGACACAGCCGGCATTCTTTGTCTCAGTGACTGTAAGTCACTTGCCAGGGGGCAACCCTGCATCAAAGGATATAAACAATCGCAGGGCCACTGACCTCAAAGTCAAAGCGCTTCCTGGAGAGGTTACATCAACCATGGCCACCGCTGGTGTGTGACACAGTCTCACAGCCTTTGTAACAGCACAGACTTTATGTTAAAAAGTCTCTGCAAATTCGACAGGCAAAAAAATTGCATCGCGTTTTTAATTTGCATTTCACGATAGTTAGGAAGGCAAATACTTCTTTCTGCCAAGTTTACTGGTGATTTCTATCCTACCTTCTGTGAGTTATTTTCTTTCACATCCTTTGATCATTTGTAGGTTAGGTATTTCATGTTCATATGTAAAGAGCTCTTTATATATTGAGAATCTTAAGCCTTAGGTCTGATATATTTGTTATAAAATGTTTTCCTCAGTTTTTATCTACCTTTGAATGTGGCATGTTTTAAAACACTAAAAATGGTAAGTTTTATGCAGTCAAATCTGTACATTTCTTCCACTGTTCTTATAGTTCGGGGAGAGCTTCACATTATGAAAGGCATTTCTTAATGGTTTTAATGCACATTTTTTGTTATCCAAACAGCCACCTGCTTGCCTAAGCTGCATCTGTCGACAAATCCTTCCCCTGGCCAGAAAAACTGTAGTCACATGTAGCAACAAGATGAGTCTATGTGGAAAAGGCAGACTTTTGTTTTTAGTGAGCACAAATTGGACCCATTCAGGTTAAATGCATGTAAAACGTTAATGATGCCAAAGGGGTATCAGATCCATCAGGACACCAGGTGGTGGGAGCATGAAGAAAAAAAGCAGAGTCAGGAGGGAAGGAGGCTTGAGTCTGGTCCTGGGTTTATCACTAATCAACCTCCCCGGGCGTCAATCAATCATCTAACCTCCCTGGGCGTTGGGTCCTCATATGCAAACCATTGCAGGGGGAGGGGGAGGGGTGTCGTTGGGCCAGAGTATCTTTTTTTTTTTAAAGTTTATTTGTTTATTTTGAGAGAGAGAGAGAGAGAGAGAGAGAGAGCAAGTGGGGAAGGGGCAAAGAGGGAAAGGGAGACAGAGAATCTGCACCACCAGCAGAGAGCCCAACACAGGGCTCGAACTCACAAACTGTGAGATCATGACCTGAGCCGAAGTCGGACGCTAACGGACTGAGCCACCCAGGCAACCCCCTCTTTTTTTCAGTTATTTTGGGCCAGACAACCTTTAAGAACCTTCCAGCTATAAAACTAGGTTGTGACTATGGAATAAAAAAATGTTTCTTTAAGACAGAAGAGCCACACCGAGGAGGCAACACCATGCTACTCTCTGTCCACGACCCAGGACCCTACAGGCCACCTCACCATGCAGCTGGAAGCCACCCGCCCTTGTCTGCTCCCAGCGGATGAGGTCATGAGGGCCACTTACCAGGAGGGCACTGCTGAGTCCCATCAGCTGAGAAATTGCAGAGTTCAGCGAGTAGTCCTCTGTGAAACAGGTGGTCACCTATTGGCAAAAGTTGAATTATACACTTTCCTCAACATCCCTTGAAGCTTTCCACAAAAAACCAATAGAACACAACACACCACCAAAACGAACGGATGACTCTACAAATGTGAACTGCATGAAGATTGTAGTGATCTTTACAAATGGATTCACTGTCTCGAATAATCACGATAATGTTTCATTGGCACAAAGATTTTTGAAATCAGGGTGAGTGCTGTTTCCACCATTCGACACGTCCTCCTCCCCCAGGCCTGGGTGGTGCTGGGTCTCGCAGTGGGGACTTAAAACGCTGCCAATGACCGGAGGCAGGACCGCGGATGAGCAGTCTCAAAACAACAGCAAATAGGAGGTGGGGTGAAGGACGCCGCCCTCGGAGACTCCGGGACTCTCATTCACAACGAAGGTGCTTAGGAGACAGGAGAAGGTGAGTTCTGCATTTCCAAATATGGACTCCATATAAAAACACTAACGGGACTTGCCAGCTTCTTCCTGTTCGCGTGCTTTTCAGTTTTGACCATGGCCAAGAATGTAGAAAACCCACACATCAAGAGACGTCAAGAGTTTCCAACTGGTTGAAGTGACCCAATTCTATGATCTGACAGAACATAAGAACGTGCCAGATCCAGAGAGGAGACGTGTGGTATGAACATAATAATTCAGGCACCACTCACATCCCGGAATTCAGTTCCTTGAGCTCAGTTTCTCTGCACTAGAGGAGAAGGGACGGGAAAAGAGCTGAAGAAGTGTCACCGAATGAGACCATGCTGGACCCAAGGCCTCATGAAAAACCTTGTGCCTTCAATGTTGTCAGTTACCAGAGTCCGGAAGAGTGACCCTGGCTGACTTTGTAAGTTCAAACCAGCAGTTCAAGAGAGAGAGAGACTGAGACTGGGGGGGGAAGAAGGGAGGGAGGGAGAGAGAGAAAGAGAAGAGAAGGAAAAGAAAGAAAAGAAAAGAAAAGAAAGAAAAGAAAAGAAAAGAGAAAAGAAAAAAGAAAAGAAAAGAAAAGAAAAGAAAAGACAAGACAAGACAAGACAAGACAGATGGAAGGAAGGAAGGAAGAAAATTTAGCCTAAGGAGTCACTTGTTGTGTCCGATACCCACTAAGAACTGCCTTCAGAGCTCCTAAATGCCTTCTTTCAAAGACATATGACATTTTTTCCACAAAGTTCTTAAAAAGGCAAATGTCATGGTGCTGTGGCAGACCTCGGGATAAAACATTTAAAGGGGTTTGTTATCAGTGAAGAATCTTGTAAAATGAATTTGGGGGCGCCTGGCTGGCTCAGTCAGTAGAGCATGAAGCCCGGGGTTGGGAGTTCAAGCCCCATGTTGGGCACGGAGATTTCTTAAAAATACAATATTTAGGAAAGAAAAATATAAAATAAAGATGATTTAGACAATAAAATACTATTGTCGGGCGCCTGGGTGGCTCAGTCAGTTAAGCATCTGACTTCGGCTCAGGTCTTGATCTCACGGTTCATGGGTTTGAGCCCCACGTCGGGCTCTGTGCTGACTGCCAGCTCAGAGCCTGGAGCCTGTTTCAGATCCTGTGTCTCCCTCTCTCTCTGATCCTCCCCTGCTCATGCTGTCTCTCCTTCTCTCTCAGAAATAAATAAAACATTAGAAAAAATTTTTCTAAATAAAATACTATTCTCTAAGAAGGTAACCCAAACACACCGCATCTTGCAAAAGTTAAGCCACGCCAGCTCACACAGACACTGTGTGACAAAGTGGGGGGCAGGCAAGCCCTCCCTCCGCCGTCGCACCCGGTCTCTGGGCCTCAGCTCTGCCTCCATCTGTAACCCGCGGAGGCCGGAGAACAGTCTCTTCACGACCCTTTCTACCTTCAACCTCCGTTTCTGTTGACGCTGCACGCCGTGGGCCATGGGCGCCATCGGGTGTGGCCTTCTGCCCCAGAACTCACCAGCGTACCGGGCAAGGCCCTCACCTCAGAGACGACCGAGTTCCGGTGCGCCCAGAGCTTCCTGGCCTCGGCTCTCTCCTCGCTCCTCAGCAGCCCGGGCTGGGGAGCCGCCCCGGAAGCCCTGGCCTCGATGAAGCGCGTCACCAAGGCCCACAGACGCTGCTGCCACCTTAGCACCCCGGGGAGGGCATCAGCTGAGGAGAAGAGACAAAGGGGGAGACAGACACGTGAGCGACTGGCGTAGTTATACCCTGGCCGTGATGCGCCTGCGCAATGAAGACGCACCTCGCGGCGCCCCGATGGAGTCACCCAAGGGCAGGCTGCAGGGCCCGCCCTGGCTTCCAGTGTCGCGGGGCGCAGACCAGCGCCGAGGCCGCCGCATCCCAGAGCGCCGGGCACTCGGGGCACTGGGCGGCAGGGCTCCTCCGAGTGCCCCCCGGCCGCCCCTGGCCCACCACTGGCTCAGAAGCCTGGGCCAGGCCGCGCCGCGGTGCCCAGCTGCCTCGCCTGAGAGAGCCTGCGGTCACAAGCTGTCCCCAAACAACCTAAGCCTCAACGTCCGCACTCCGTATGTCCCCAGCGATTCCAACGCTGCCAGGACCGGCATCTGTGACTACTGCTCCAAGCCACGCGCATCACCGGAAGTGGCTCACTGAGTAAGGCGCTGGTGGGGCACCTGCGTGGCTCGGTCGGTGAAGCATCTGGCTTCGACTCAGGTCATGATCTTGCGGTTGGTGCGTTCGATCCCCGCGTCGGACTCTGTGCTGACAGCTCAGGGCCTGGGGTGTGATTCAGATTCTGCATCTCCCTCTCTCCACCCCTCCCCCGCTCACGCTCTCACTCTCTCTCGCTCTCAAATAAACATTAAATATATATATATATATATATATATATATATATGTGTGTGTGTGTGTGTGTGTATGTACAAAAAAAAAGGCAGTGATCCAGGGCCTCTGACTTCTCCTTCCCAGAGCACCTGGGGCAGACCACGGGAAGGAAAACTGAGTGACCGCTGGACTGCTTATTCTGGGATACCCATATACCAAGAAGATTCTATCTTCTGCCTTTTTAGATCTTGAAAACTCTGGAGAGACAACTCTCCCCTGAGGGGGCCGGGGGGCTGCTGTGGGTGAGGGAGGAAGTCCAGGTAACACCAGGAGCAGGCCCCAGGCAGCGTTTTCTGGACTTGTGAGGGGCGACGCGGACACTGTGCTAGAAGAAACCTTTCAGGGTAGATCAAGGGGGGACTGGCCTCCATGGACCAAAAAGGGCCTCGGGCTGCCGGGAGGCCAGTCTGGCTCCCAGGAAGTGTTCCCATCAGGAACTGGCGTCAGGACACCACCACACCTGCTAGTGGCAGGCTCCCGGGCACCCCCGCCGATGCCATCAGCAGGACTGGGCGAGGATTGGGAAGCTGCACCGTCTATGAGCTCCTCCAGTGAGTGTGAGGCTCACCACCTCTGGGGTCACTGGTCTGAGGACGGTACAGGATGCTGGACAAACCGCCACTCACTTCCTGGGACGGATTCCTAGACCCTTGCTCCTGCCTTCGGCCAAGACATCCCCTTCCCCGAGATTCCTCCGGCAACCGACCGAGGCCAGTCACACGGGACATGGGCTGGGAAGGGGAGGGGACTTACACTTCACATCCCACAAGATGTCCTTCTCGGGAGGGCCAGCGAAGAGCATGTAGAGCCGCACAGTGTCGATGCCGTAGCACTCTACAACCTCCTGGGGGTCCACCCCGTTGTGCTTGGACTTGCTCATCTTCTCCCACGTCACCTCCAGCGGCTCCTTCGTTTCCGCGTGAACAGGAACTGCCCCTGGACACCAATGTCACACATGGGGACAGCGTGTGCGGCTTGGGACTGGGTCCACAACAGCACATTCGATAAGAGCAACTGAAAGCATCCACTTGAAGAACCCCACTAACCCACCTGCCACGCCTCTTTCTCTTCCTCTACGAAATATTCTAGAAAATGCTCTCCTCTTCTAAGGAAATGAGGCCCTCCTCGCCCCACGAACCTTCCCTTCGGCAACAGGCAGCACAGGTATGGCGGCCCGTGAAGCTTCTTCTCATCCACAAAGTAAGAGCAAGCACTTTCCCGCTTTATAAATTACTTACATGCAAATGAGAAAGTAAAAGCAGGGTAACAGAGGCTCGCACATTCTGCTGTTTTCTTTAGGCATTTGGTGTCTCCCCTGGAAGCCGGCAGCTGACCGGCCAGGGTCTCAGAGCAGCAGCAAAGCACTCTGAAGGTCACTTTAGCCACCGAAACATGGTCTTGCGCTATATTGGGGCCCGCAGGCTTAACTCACCAGGCTCCCACTGAATGTGGTGGTGCCCACCCGCCACGGCCCGCTCCTTGCAAGTGCCTCCTCCCCACCCACATTCCAGCGGTCCAAAGGGTGCTGACACAGAAGGCCTCACATGGCTAAGTTTGGATGAGGTGTCCTTGTGGCCGAGCCCCCGGTGGTTGGGACGAGGAAAGACATCCGGGAAGGCTAAGGTGTCTCTCAGGAACTGGGACTAAGGGACAGAAGCTCTTGTTCCATGGTTGTTGGGCACCAGAACCATAAAGTCCTAAGCAGATACGGGCAGGGCATGGCACCCTGGTTCCCCAAGGTCACCTGGTGACCTGAAGTCGGGGGAGAACAGAAGCCAAGCCTGGTGGAGGAAGGAGAACAGGGCAGAAGAGCAGAGAGCAGGAGGAAGGGCAAACAGGGGCTGGAGAAGGAGAGAGAAGAAAGTTCTGGGCCAGGCATCAGTGTGGTGCCTGGTGACCGCATGCAGGCTGCGAGGCCTGGCTGGAGCCCCTGTAGCTGCCTTGTGAGGTACCCCTCCATCCTGGGCTCCACCCACCTTCGGGCACGTTTCTGGTGCTTCTAGACAAACAGTCCCAGACTCTGACGGCAACCAAACTCCTAAGGAGCCAATGTGTGGACCTGAGAGCCGACTCTGTGCTCCCAGCAGGAGCACACGCATTAGGGAGAGGGAAGCCTGCCCACGCTGATCCGAGTATTCTTTCCCAGGGAGCGAGTCCACGTGGGAAGGGAAAAGGTGCTCACGACACTGCCTGCCCCCTGACATCAGAGCAGAGGGAGACGGAAGTTGCTTTATCTGGGCTGTGGTGAGGCTCGGGGAACCACTGCTCCATTTACCCTACACACCTCCTCCGGGCTGTAGCTACTCTTTCCAGTACTGCTTAGGAAAGAGGCATCTATCTGGGCAGAACAGTTGAGAACTTAGAAAAGGGTGCCCTCTCTTGGCACATGTGGCCTTGAGGTCTATGGTTTGGCAAGGGGCTAGATTTCAGGCCCTGCTACCCCCTTGGCTGGGTGCCTTTGTGCACGAACTGCACCACCATACAATGGCAGCCCTGCCCATAACACAGGGAGCACTTCACTAACAACTGAAAAATGTATATATGCCCTTTGGATTTGGCTCCTTTCTCCTCTGGTTTGTGTTGGTGAAATATTGCCAATTTCTTCTTTTCAAGCTTCTTTCTGTCCCATGGACCATTCCAAACCCTGATAAATGACTGCACAATTAGGTAATTCCATAGACAGCTTCCACCTAAACCTGTTCTCCAGTGTTTGGTTTGGAAGGCTGCTTACCCTTAGGGGTTGCTGGGTTTACATGATCTCATCCACTGTGCACTGGGCTTGCTAAACTTCATGGCCAGAGTTCTGGGGGCTTCTCACAGTTGCCTCTGCATACCTCCTCCCCCCCACTTTCTACCATGTCATTGATTCCATTAGCACAGCACGCTGGGTGCACATGACACCCTCCCTGTGCCACCTCTACCCCTGAGGAGGAGTGACAGCACAGAGAGCAGCAGAGAGCGCCAGGAGCACGGAGAGAAGCGGGGGTCCAGCGACCAGGGAGAGGGGCTCCACCAGGAAGTGCTGCCCCGGGGTGCCATACGGGTGAGCCCTACAGACCACCTAGGGAAAAACGCTGGGAGTGTCCCAGGCCTGGAAAAGCATCTCATGGGCCTGGAGACTCTGTCCCTGAGACGGGCCGTCAAATGTAAGCAAGGGCACGAGGCGACACCGGGCTGGCTCTGTGTTCTGTACAGATGAAAACCCGTCCAGAAGTGAGTAGACTCTGGACAGGGCCGGGACTGAGGAGCAGGTGGCCACCCCAGCCCCAGCCTCCAGAGGGCCCTGGCCACCCGGACACGGCAGGCTGAGACCTGGAGACCCCGAGAGACCCCTGGGGCCCTCTCCTGGGCTTTTCACCCCACTGAGGCCCTGGGTAAGCACCTGCCTTGTCAATGGCCCGAGACCTGGCCTCGGTTCTCTGTGATCACCCAGAAGGGAGTGGACAGGCCATTCTTACCTGTGAGATCTACTTCCTCCCTCTGTAGATATGGTCCATCCGGCAGGCGGAATGTCTGCCCCTTGATAAGGCCTTGGGCCAACAGCTTACGAAAAGGCTCTCTGCGAAAAGATAACGGGAGAAGAAATCAATTAGTAGGGATGTGAAGCATCCAGCAGACAGCAACAGAAGCCTTTCCAGCTGCTGGATAGAAACAATGGCCCTCTCGCACACATCTCCGGGCCCTCGCCTGTGTCCCGCAGTGACGGCACGCACCACCGTGAGAAGCGTGACAAGGCTGTGCGGTGATACAATGTAAAGACCAGTCCACATCCGGCCCTACACCCACCACGGTCAGGACTGCCCCTTACTCTTCCCTCTGTCCCCAGCACTGAGCACTGTGCATGACAGATAGGCTCAAAAAAAAAGAAAAAAAAAGTTCAAAACATGGATGGATGAATGAATTCATAAATATGCACATACAGACAGGCGAACAGTGGGATGGAAGATGGAAGACACTGGGTGGCCGCTGCTGCTGGGCCCAGAAGGCAGCTTTGCCTTCCATCCAAGCTGAGGATTTTTACCGCATTCCATATACTATACGGCAACAGTTTTATTATTATTATTTTTTTTTAATGTTTTATTTATTTCTAGGAGAGAGAGAGACAGAGACAGCGAGAGCAGGGGAGGGTCAGAGAGAGAGGGAGTCACAGACTGAAACAGGCTCCAGGCTCTGAGCTGACAGTCAGCACAGAGCCCGATGCGGGGCTCAAACCCACGAACCGCGAGATCATGACCTAAGCGAAAGTCGGACACTTAACCGACTAAGCCACCCAGGCGCCCCACAACAGTTTTAAAACAAGATAGAATCACATGGCTACTTTTTATTAAGCAGGTCAAGAAAGAGACTGCACACAAACACATTCAAAAGCACCAGGCAAATGGGGCCAGTATTCCACAAGGAAGGACAGCCCCCCAAAACCCAGTGGTGCCCCCATGGAGCATCAGCGGGGTTGATGGGGCTGATCTGCACAAGGTGCACTGGTTCACCTCTAAGACTGGAATCTTCTTCATGCCGTAGCCTCACAGGAAACAAAACAAAACCAAACAACAAAACAAACCAGACCGCTGCTTTCTCTCTACTGTGCCTGGTGCCAGTGGGATGAATTTCTGTTACTGTCTCCGCACCAGTTTCTGAGATTTTTCCTTTCCTCTCCTGCTCTAAGTACAACGGCTTTGGTACCTCTCAGGAGAAATTAAAACTCGGGGTGGAGGGAGGGAGGGCGGGAGGGAATAATCTGGATCCCAAAGGTAAACATGAGCAGTATGATGAAAATCCACAGAGGTTTTAACCTCCAGAGGGGGCGAGAGGGGGCTGGGGAAGAAACCAGGAATCCTGTTCTGGGTCCTGCAGGTCATCAGGTGTCTCGATGCTGCCACCTTCTGGGAACAGATGGTGTTGCACCTACCAGCATGTGCCACTACTTCCAGAGGCTCTTCAGGCCTAATGGGTTACAATTCTTCTTCTTGTTTTTTTGTTTTGTTTTGTTTTCTTTTTTTTTAAGTAAACTTCGAAATAAAGTGCACCACCCATATAGAAAAGTATACAGATCCTGGGAGTAAAACTTGATGCGTTTTCACAACATAAGCACACCAGTGATGGCCAGAGTGGACCTACCTCCCGGAGGCCCTGCCTCCCCACTGCAGCACCACCAGCCTGGCTGCTGACAGTGTTTCAAAACCACTTCTAACCCTCTGCAGGTGAGAGTGAGGGGTCCCGGGGGCCTGCACACACTGGAGACTGTCCCCAGAGCTGTCCTTTGGTGGTGTGTTCTGTGTGGTCCTGGTAGTTGTGCTCAGCAGATACTAAATTTTACCATGTATTCAGGGGGGCTGCTTCCCTGCCCTCCTCCTGTGAGCCTCCCCGCAGTGCCGAGTTCATGGCTGATGCTCAATACTCATTCACTGGTTTGAACTAAATCCAGTGAATGAACTAAATGAACGTTGTTCCCATGAGAGGAGGAATAAAGCTGCCAGCAGGAGAGTTGGGGACAACGTAGAGGGGAACGCTAGGTGGGGGTGAGGACAGGGACGTGAGATGGGGGGACACGGGCGGGGGAGGGGGACACGAGACGCCAGAGAGGGACCCGAGGTGGGGGGCAACGCGAAGTGGGGAGGACGCAAGATGGGGGGACATGAGGTGGGCAGGGAGGATGCGAGGTGGCAGAGGAAAGGCGGATAAAGGGCAGGCACTGGCATATAGGTGGGGCCGTGACTTCTCTGCAGGGAGAGGCACAGTGAGCGGTTTCAGACTCGGTCCACTCAAGCTCGCAGGAAGGTCAGCGGGAGCAAGGGGACGAGCATGGGGGAGGGGTCCCAAGAGCATTTACGCTGGAGTTCATGGTGGGAGGGGAGCCTCCCAGCTGCCGAATCCTGCTCATTCCCAATAGTCCCCCCACCTCCTCCCCCTCCAGGGCTCAAGGGAATGACCCACAGGACTTAGGGAATCAGGTTCTCATTCTCATGGCTGGAGCCGGTCACACCCACCCTCAAGTACTGTAGCTCAGTATGAGCTTCAGTAAGCTCAGCAAGCCATACTTGCTTACTCATTCACCGTGTATTTGAGCCACAGCCGGGTACAGAGCACTCTGCGGTTAGAGGGCTTACAGTAAAACGGAGGCCCAAGACATGCCAGAAATAGTCATCAACACATGTAGAGTTGGCACCAGTGTGATGTGGAGGCGCAAGGTGCATGGGAATGAGGGACAGGGGCCATTAAGGGCCCCACGGAGCTCAGCACCCAGTCCTGTAGGGGCAGCCTTCACACCATCACCACGCTCGTTACTAAGATTCACAACCTGGGTAACATATTCCCTATCTGCTCATTCACTCACTCCAGGAATGGCACTGGGGACGAACTTGCAACCGAGTTACTCATTCATCACAATGACCGCGTACAGCAGAGGGCTTTATGAGGAAGTGAAAAACGTGACACCCTTCCCCCCCCCCCCTGCTCCATACCCCTTTGGCCTGGAAGTATCAGAGGTGGGCATCAGGCAGGGTCTTGGCGGCGGGGGCCTGGCTAGGTTCACTGCCACGGATGCAGAGCTGGGCCCTTTGCTCTGGCTCAGCTCTCCTGCTGCTATGCCTCAAATACCACCCCTAGGGGACGCCTGGGGGGCTTGGTTGGTTGAGCATCCGACTCTTGATTTCCACCCAGGTCATAGTCCCAGGATCGTGGGATCCAGCCCCTTGTCAGGCTCTGTGCTGAGTGTGGAGCCTGCTTAAGAGTCTCTCTCTCTCTCTCTCTCTCTCTCTCTCTCCCCTCTCTCCCCTGCTTGTGTTCTCTCTCTCTAAATAAACAATTTTTTAAAAAGAATTTAAAAAAATACCACTCCTAGAGGTGGGGCATGCCCGCTTTTGCCACGGCACAGCTATGTGTGAGTGGGGTGATGGGGAGTGATGCCCTCTTTGGTACTTCCTGGACAGTGTGTGCTGCCCTAATTCAGAGATGACAGCAATTGAAACATGCTGGTCATGGAAAGCCACCTTTTTCCACCAAGGGAGGGAGGGAGGGAGGGCAGGGTGAGGAGGGTCAGCAATTATTAGGATAAATAAGGAATTTGAGGACATGGATTGATAGGCTATTTTAAGCGCCCTTATCCAAAACAATCACTGCATACAAAGGACTGGACTAGCCGGGATGTGGCTAGCAGAATCTCAGGATTCGTCAGAGCCCCTACTGGCCCCTGCAGATAATGTTTTACCTACTCGGGAGGCCCCCTGACCTGGTGGGCTCCTATGTGGACCTGGAAAGAAGAAAACAGGAAACCCTGGATTTCTGAAAAGTCTCTTTTCTTTTTTTAATTTTTTTTTTTTTTATGTTTTATTTATTTCTAGGAGAGAGAGAGAGAGACAGCATGAGCAGGGGAGGGTCAGAGAGAGAGGGAGTCACAGACTGAAACAGGCTCCAGGCTCTGAGCTGGCAGTCAGCACAGAGCCCGACGCGGGGCTCGAACCCACGAACCGCGAGATCATGACCTAAGC